AAGCATCTGCTTGACAACGAATATATCACCAAAAAGACCACCTAAACAATAGAATTAAAATGACTTAACTGAACATGTCTACGTTCAAAAAGAGGTCATACCAACCACTCAACAAATCAAGAATACCAATTCTAACCAGCGCATCAATGCCATCTGCACAGATTCCTTTCCCAAAGCAGTTAATTAAAGGCAGGATTGTCTGGAACAAGAGAGAGTAAGTTATAACTGCAGTGAGTCACATACATACATGGGTTATAGACAAATTACGATGAGCACATATGGATATCAAATACAATTTTTTATATCATCAAAGTCCAAAGACTTCAATACAAGTTAAACCTGATTAATGGTAACAGGCATCCCAAGTTCTTCACAAGAGCCAATAAGAAGCACTGAAGCAGCAGCTGCTGAGCTCTTATGTGGAGCAACAGATAGATTAGACACAACCAAAGGATGAATTGTTTCCATATACACTTGTTTACCAAGCCGATTCCATATTTCTCTTACAAATGAATCTTGGAGAAGAGAAACCTTCAAATGTGAATAACCAGGAACCTGAAATTAAAATATTAATAAGTAAAGCGATATATAAAATTTTAATAATACAATGAAATAGACAAAAGGAATTCATGACTAGCCTGTAAAATTTTTTGGATAACAGGTAAAACCAGAGTCTTCACTGCCTTAGACATCAGACACTTCAAAAACTCTTTTAGTAGTACATAAGCCCATTCTACTTCCGCATCTGACTGAGGAGCCAATATAAGAGGCAGACAATAAGGAGCGCACATTTCAGCAGCAAATTCTCCCATTGCCTTGAGAGCCCCTTGTTTTGCAAAATTTGCAGCATAACGAAGTCGGGTAACATCTTTTGCAAGAATCTGAAGTGGAGCTAGAAACAAGTAGCATGACTTGATTGTAGCAGGAAAACAAGGTGATTCCAATATATTTTTGGCTGATGGCCTCCTAACCAGGTTTTAATAAAATAGGAAGAGTTAGTCAGGTAGAGTCCATAGCATATGAACTCGTCACCCTACAACCAGTGAAATACATAAGACAAATGCTACTTGGTAGAAACAAAATCAAAAGACACCAGGCACTATATATTTGAACAACTGTAATTCCTATTTATAACTAACGAAATCCAAAAATAAAAAGCCTCAAAATTCCACCTTGTCAAGTCCTTTTGGATGCATGCTTCAACAAGAATTTTTATATCAGGAGGAAGTTCTTGCATAAAGCCAGGCAAGATACCACTTTCCAAGTACATAGTCAATGAGGTAGAATGAAAAAGTGGCCTCCTCAAATGAAGCTCTGCTAGAATACAACCAATAGAAAAGATATCATTCGCAGCACCATCAGAAAATTGCAATTGAGATATTCTTTCTCTCCATGATAACAAGTCTTGATATCCAATTGAATCTTTACCCTCCACTTCAACATGCTCAAGAAGATAGCTCAGTGTAATATTGGTTCGAAACTCATGCTGCACAAATATATCAGAAGTATTGGTTAAACACTTATTGAAGCTCTCAGCCGATAACACCTCTTTGGAAGTCATATCTTCCAATTTTTTAGCATAATAGCCATAAACAGCATTTAAATGTCTGGCCTCTTCAAGGAATGATGATGCTTCTTCTAATTCTTCTAGATAGGATATTTCAGACATAATAATATCTTTATCTTCCGCTTCACTTGCATGGCATTGATTCTCAACTGACATTACAGGGCTTTGACATGATCTCTTGGTTGGAACTTTCCGTTTTGGGTGTGGTCGACTAAAGAGCTGACGACGTCCCATCGACCTTGGGAGCGTAGGTTCAGATAAAGGCAACATAACGTTCTTGGCAGCAATAGCAGCTTCACCTGACATTTTATATCCAAACGTGACGTCAATCCACTCATGGAGTTTTTCTGAGACTCGATCACTTTCTAGAGAAACACGATGCAATTTAATGAACTCCTCAGGACTACCTGCCCATGGAGGTACAGCCAAATCAGCCATACCATCATGCATTGAATAAAATATTTGAGAATCACAATAAAATTCAGGAATGCATTCATCAGGGGTCCACTGATAAAGCCTCTGCATGTTAGAAGGATATTCATTGGGCTCATAAACTGAACGGACGGCCATACGTAAAATGCTTAAAGGTAACCTTCTGGCTTTATAGCTGCAGACAGCCAGCTCAGAGAGACACTCATCTGATACATGATGTGGGATTTCAGAGGTAGTGTAGGTGAAGTCCAACTGTTCATCACCCTTTGCCAATCGCCATTTGCTTTTGCTTAAGTCTCGCCATCCGACATCTGAACTCTCATCTGGCTTTGTGCTAAAATCTATTACCCATGGCATTATTGTGTGAAATTTGTGGTCATCCCACCTTCTCCCAGCCAATCTATTTAAGGCAAGTAAATACTCAAAATTACTCAACTCACCCCTCCACCATCGCATAAAATCAGACGGCCAGTCTATTGAGGAAGTAACACTCAAATCAGCGTAAAGAGCTTTGGAAGAACAATCCTTTGCACAACAATGTACCTGTCCTGATGTAGCCATCGAACATTTTTTTTCTTTCCTAGTTAAATCACACACTAACCCAGGCATATCACAAATTTGCAGCCAAGACCAGCACATCTCATTTAACATCACACTGGATGGGCATATATTGCCATGGAAGATCCCTAAGCCATGTATAAAGGCAAGGGCGGATAGTAGCTGATATAGTAGAAACCTAATATGCCACTCAGACTTTATGGCATCCGGACTATAATGGAGAATGTTCTCTAATGTGTATGGAGTCGTAGGCAATATTGCATTCGTATAACCATGAGTCCTTAGCATTGAAAGAACAGGCACGATATTGGGATGCCTCAAGCAATTCAAGAAGACAGTCTCTTGAAAAGAAGGAATTCCAACTAAGCTAAGAAAATTTATGGAGTCCCTTCCTGAAGCTCTTCCTTCAATTAAGAGACAAAGTGAGTGCAATATATGATCTTCCAAAGATCCAGACAAGAGATTGGAAGCAATTTCATCAAAGGTAGAGAGGGATGAAATGCTAATACGGGCAATGGGGGCCAAAGAACTGATTATCCTCGAACAAGAGAGCCTACTGGAATGGTTGTAGTTAGAACCGTCAGTGAGTGATTTCTCTCCAATTTGTGGCGAATACAAAAAACCTTTATGAGGACTATCCCCTTGAGTTTCAACTTGATCTTCACTAATCTGAGATTTAGTGTCTTCGTTACCACTGTTGAAATTGTCCAGTAAATACTCATTCCTGCATTGGGAAGTGGGATGGTGTTAAATTCTCCCTTGAAAAAAATGAAGTAAACGATTACGGAGAAAGCCATAATTCATCTAATACTATCAAGCAGCTTATCCAAACTGATTCCCGAGTTTGAGACGCTTGAGAGCAATAATGTTCAGAAGTGTGCTAAAATCTAAAATGAGAAAAAGATGACCATACACATAGTTGGTTATGCAATTGTAATCATGGCCTGGCAGATACACGATCATAAATTGAGAGCCTGAGGTTTCCCCATTTGACACCTGCGCGAAAAAATAATCAGATAACGAGAGAACATCTTCTAATGCACTCTCTTAAACGCATTCCTATTAAGATTATGCACCAGTGGGAACGAGACCTGAACAACGGCGGTGGAGGTGAAGGGCAGGGCCGTGTCGGAGATGGAATAGGAGACTATGAGTCGGTCGGAGAAATCGACTCTGATTCGACCTTTAAGACACTCGAAGCAAAACCTCGACTGCTCTTCCATTTGATTGAAATTACTTCTACTCCATTAAACTTGAACACTTCCTGCAACAGGTGATCGTTCATGAATGAGTTACCATTCTTGGATCAAAAAACAGATTTGATGTAATTGGTCAAATTGATGAATCTCGCATCTGCACATTCACAATAGGAATTCTTCAACCGGCAATCACCAAAGCCCACCGCCACCTCGTCCTCTTTTTCTCTCTTTACCACTCGCGAGCGCGCGCTCTATCACTTTTTTCGGTCGCCGGCAGTATTCCAGGATTAAAAAAAGTGATTTTTTTTTCTTTTTCCTTTGGATAAAATTTGATTTTTTAAAATTAACCATTTTTTCTCTTCTTATCTAAATAAAGTAGGTCATGAAAAATGGAGCAAAAAATTTTAAAAACTAAAATAATAGTTTACAAAAATAGACTTTAAATTTTATCTTACAATAAAATATATTTTTTTAAGAGAGGATGAGAAAATAATCCTTCGGGGGGCTGAGTCACAATCCCCCTTATTCTATTCCTGTTTTATTATTTATTTATATTCACAGATTTTATATTATTTATTTATATTCACAGATTTTATTACATGTCTTCACGTTATATTTCATCATTTGATTATGTGGAAGCAACTATTACACGAGTTTTTAAATTTTAACTTCCTGATGTTGTTCTTTTAAAATTTCAATTATATTATATTTACTCTTTAAAATCTTGTTTAATTTTGGTCAACAGTTCCTCTTTCTTTACCCTAAAGAGGTAACCGTTGTGGTAATTTTCTTTGTTTTAATCTCGTAGTTTGAACAGAACTGTAAATAAATTTACTTAGCTTTGTACTATAAGTTTTATCTGAGGAAGGGAGGTAAATGTGTAGAAAGAAGAGGAAGTGACACGTGTGATTCATGTGTTGAAAATAGTGATTTTCTTGCGGGACAAGACAAAGATGAGAGGTTGAGAAAATTCTGTTGCATTGTACTGGATTCTAGAGCTGCGTGAGAACTCCTTCTTGAACTCAAATTCTTCTCGCTTCACTCTCTTAACCAATACTTCTTTTCCACGTGGCCTCCTAGATTTTTCCTCTTCCGGGCCGAGTCCAGCCCATTGGGTTCCGTAGTGGCAAAGCTGTTATTTTGGTAACTCATTAGGGGTATTTTGGTCAGGCACTGGATACGCTGCGTAGACGCTTGGAAGTTGGAATCTCCTCTTTCCGCGTCTCTGCTTGTGCTTTCTTCACACACGCAAAATTCCCACCCCCCCCCCCCCCCCCCCCCTCTTCCTTCTTCTTCTCCTTCCCCTCGTGGTTAGGGTTTTCTTGTTCAGCCATCCCTACGTTTCTCAAACCCGTTTCCCTTCCTGCTTAATTCTCAATCTCCACTGCTGTAGCGTTCTTCCATGGCTCCAATCACCTTTTATCTTGTACTACTCTACTCTCCCCTGCTCTTTTCCTTTTCTTTTTCTTCCATGTATTCACCCTTCTGTCTTACAAATTTCGTTTAATTCTTTTCAATTTTCTGTCATCTATCTCTGCGTTTTCTGCTTAATTCCTGAATATTTGTGTACTCGATAACTGTTTGGGAGTTCGAATTTTTGTTCTACTGATTCCTTGCGCTGGAATTTTATTCGAAAATAATTTTACCTGATGTATTGAGATTTTCAGCTGCCTTCTTGTTCAATTCCGTCGGCCTTGGGTTAATATTTTGTTTCGTTCTACATTTGGATGTGGAAGTGGATGTTTGACTCCAGACCGATTGAATATGAGAAGAAGGTAGCTCAAAATCTAAATACATCAAGGTGCAAGGGGATGCTTGACTCAAATTCCACTATGCTACTATTAATTACTTCACTTGTACGCAAGTTTCATGTTCAGGGACTCTAGTCAAGCATCAGTCATTTATCTAGACGCTTAGTCAACTGAATAGTGCCTCTTTTTTAACGACTTACTACTGCCCTCTCCCCGTAACTGCTGCTAACCTTCGCTTGTAATGTTTTAGAAGAAGTCATTCATTTGAGTTTCTCTGTTGTTAGCCATCGGGGAAGTCATTTGTTTTCATTCTACTATATATTTAATGTTAATAGGACCATTTTCTTTGTCCTTTTTAGATCTTCCTTTGAAACTAGCTCGTTGGAGTCGATCAGATCCTTGATTGTATGTTTTTCACCAATTTTGTAATTGAATTGCTCGGTAACCTTGTTGCTTCGTTGTTACTATATTCTGGAATAGAAATGCTTGATATTTTTCCTTTTCTGCTCATCTTTAATATAGTATGCCCGAACACATCTAATTTATTTTCTTTTGTTCTTTTTTTGTGCCTTGCATTGGATTCAGACGTTCCTTAGATTTGCTCAATCTCAAATTCAGTTTTGAGGCATTCAATTAAGCAATATTTGATAGATCTGTTTCTCGAGCAAGCGAAAACATGTACAATGAAGGAGCCACCCCTGAATTTATTTTTGATCAGGGCGTTTATTACCCTACTGCTGCCAATTACAGTTATTACTGTACAGGTAATATTCGTGAATATATGATGTAGCAATTTAGATGATGCTATGATGACTCACATATGTGTCTTTATTGTTGAAGGATTTGAATCACCTGGCGAATGGGAGGATCATTCTCGGATTTTTGGTTTAGATGGTCCAGATATCCATTACACAGTGAGTAATAGATATCTTTATTTTATATTTTCTTGCTTAGCCATAACTTCAATTTTTTTTCTGATGGTCCTCATTATCTCTCTTGATTTAGGGTGCTCAAAATGAGAATTCATCTTATGTATATTATACGCCAAGCTATGGATATGCACAGTCTCAATACAACCCGTATAATCCTTACATACATAGTGCTGTGATGGGACCAGATGGTCCATATATAGGGGCCCAACAGTTTTACACCATTCCTTCCTATGAAAGCTCTGTTTCTTCACCTGCCTATGTCCCTGTTATCGTTCAGCCAGATCTTGTCCCCAATATTTCCAATGACTTGATTGATCCTTCAATTAATAGATCTAATGGAAATGGAAGAATGCATAAAAATGAGAGTTCTGGAAACTTTTCTAGGAACGCCACCAATCCTACTTTAGGCCAGAGAAATTCCTTGGACAGGTTATCAGATGTGCCAAGAGCTAATGTTGGTCCAAGTAAGCAAAGTGCAACACTTGGTAGCATTTCTGCTGGTAGTCATGCTGGGTCAATTTCATCACGTGTTTATCAGGTAAATTTAATTGTTTTCCTGTATTGAAGGTCACTTGTGTCTACTTGGAGAGAAATTTCATGATCTACATCTCTTCTTATAGTTGGATTTGTTTATTGTCGCTATTAAATGTGATTGAGATTATCTATTCAATTAGTTTTCCATATTAGGTGTAATGCGCACATGCAAGTTTCCTTTCACTTTCTGTGGCTAATGGAACTTTTTTGGATTTATGATCTGTGCTTACAGGGTAGAGGTGCTTATGGTTCAATTCATCCAGTGGATGACATATCAAATGGAAAGGTTGTTTCTCAACATAGTCAATTGAGAGTTTCTCATCCTATCAATAATGGCTTTTCTGACTTTCGATCAAGTGCTCATGGACAGGCTGCAATCACAAAATTTCAGCCTAAGGTTCAAGTTGGTAGAGTTTTGGGTGGTGCAAATGCTAGTCCAGATGTGTTAAGTGAGCAAAATCGAGGTCCTAGAATCAGCAGATCTAAAACCCAACTGGTTCTGAAGGCCTACACAACCAAGGCTGGAGATGGTAATGCAGATGGAAACATTATTATCTACACAGATCAGTATAATAAGGATGATTTTCCTGTTGAATACATGGATGCGAAGTTTTTTGTAATTAAATCTTACAGTGAGGATGATGTTCACAAGAGCATTAAGTATAATGTTTGGTCCTCCACTCCTAATGGGAATAAAAAACTGAATATTGCATACGAAGATGCTCAGAGAATAGTTTTAGCGAAATCAAGAAGCTGTCCTGTATTCCTCTTCTTCTCTGTAAGTTGAATTTTTTTCTTTTAGATTTTGTGGTATTAGATATGTTTTTCCTTTCAGGTTGTTGATTTAATATTTTGGTATATAGGTCAATGCAAGTGGTCAGTTCTGTGGTGTCGCAGAGATGATTGGCCCTGTGGACTTCAACAGGGATATGGATTTTTGGCAGCAGGATAAATGGAGTGGAAGCTTCCCTGTTAAATGGCACATTATCAAAGATGTGCCGAACAACAACTTTAGGCATGTCATTTTGGAGAACAATGAAAATAAACCTGTTACTAATAGCAGAGACACGCAAGAAGTAAGGAGCTTTGTTATTTTCTATTCAGTCCAGTAATATCTTTATTCGTAGAAAATATCTTTTTGATTAGTTCTGTGGCGTATCATCCACTTTCTTGTGTTCTTCTGTTTGGGAGTGATTTGGATATCTTGTGAATTAAACCTGTTATTACATTTTGAGAACAATGAAAATAAACCTGTTATTACATTTTGTGTATTTCTTGTTCAATGTTTAAAGTTGATCACTTTACAATCTTGTGAGTAGCAACTAAGTGCCAATGTTTGGCAAGTTTGATTGCGTGTTCCTTCCTTGAAAATTTGATTTGTTTTGGCGTCATACTTTCACTTTTTTTGTAGCTAAAAGCTCAGCTTTTCTCTATTTTCTGTGCGTTATAATTTAATCGGACTGGCAGAAAATGAAATTGATTTTTACGGTTCTAACCTCTTCGAATTATATTTTCTTTTGCAGTTACCATTTATAAAAGGTCTGGAGATGATAAAATTATTCAAGAATCATACATTAAAGACCTCTTTACTTGACGACTTCATTTATTATGAAAACCGTCAGAAGATCATGCAGGAAGAGAAAGCGAGGTTGGTTATTAGAAGGCTGGAGCGTCCATATTTTGTACCTGCATTTGATCAAACCCGCCAGCTAAATTGTGTTGTTGAGCAACCTTTGAGAGAGGATAAAAATCTTAACAAGGCCAACGATGGTGCGAGGGGGTCGGAAAGGAATGCAACCTCGGGAGATGAGCAAGTCTATTCAAATCCTGGTACTGTGGCAGTGAAGGAAAGTCCCAAGCTCGACGGTGAAGAAAAAGCTGATGTTACATCGACTTTGAGGATAGAATCACTTGAACTTGGCGGGAAAGTGGTTGAAAAGACTTCAGGAGGAGCTACACCAGCTGCTGCAAGTGATACAAATTCCAAACCTACTGAAGTTATGACTGTAGGTTCGATGCCAATCAAAGTTAATGGATATAATACTGAAACTCGTGGTGTTTTGACTGTGGGAACGATTCCGCTCGATCCTAAAGCTCTGCAGCTTGACAACAAATGATGGAAATAGTCGAAACATATACTTGAAAAAGTGGGAGCAGTCTCAGAAATTCTCAGAAATGAGTCTTTTGCTTTACTTGGTTTGAAGATGTTCTTTGGGATTTCTTCGTTATCGCAGCTGTCTTCGTTTATTTGATCAATGTTCTGGTGTAGTGGGTGGTTTTTTTTTTTTTTTTTTTTTTTTTTTTTTTTTTTTTTTTTTTTTTTTTTTTTTTTTTTTTTTTTTTGTTGTTGTTGGGTTTCTTCTTTGTGCCAGGTTGATTTTTAAATCAATTGAAAAATAACAAATGTATTATCAGTTTCATCATTTACCCATCCAACGAAAACGTAATGTACAGCAAAGTTGTTTTGAAATTGAACTACTAGAGAAAGTTGTAATTTATTTTCTATAGTTTTAAAACTTAAGCAAGTGTAGATGTTAGACTAACTTACCTAGAGTCATGTTTGTACGTTTTTAAGTGTGTGGCGTATTGATCTTAACACGTTTAAGACAAGGTTCATTCAAATTTTCTCCCGTCATGGCATCATTAGGCAAGGTTCTCTTTCAACAATTGAACATTGCTCATGGGGAATCTAAGCTTGTTCGCCCACCCACGGTGCCTCTGCATGCATGTTCAATTGTCTGCAGTTCTTTACACTAGGTCAAGTCATTCGGCTCGACCTTGCCTCTACTTCTGGTCAAAGTCTCTCGTGTGCAATGTTGCATCTCAGTCCTCATCTTGGTTTCCAACAACAGGACTCATACATCGTGATGCAATTTCATGTCTCAGGACAGCTAGGCATCTTAGCCTTCTCAAACATGTCTAGCAGAACTGACCCATGTGTCACTCATCTAATCAGAACATCCTAATATCCATCCATTTGGGTTTTCATCAGGGCATGAACCCTCTCCTCTCCATGTCGTATCATTTATGGACTTCATACTAGACAGCAGGTGCATATACCAACCTCTAACACGTGGGTTGAGGCACAATGTTGAAACACTTGTGTCGTCCGACACTGTTCTTTAAATACTCATTTCAAAGGAAGACACTCGAGACGCTCGCTCACACTATGACACACGTGTGTGCGCATGGAGTAGCTCGCTTAGGCCACAGGGCCCAAGGGTAGTTGAGAGCTAATATCATCCCTTAAAGTACATTTTGAGACATTTTTTTGTATAGTAAGAGTAGACATGATTTTGGCAAATGATCAAACTGTGTTGTGGAGCGTCTGTCCGATATCTGATTAACACAAATTTGATGAGTTTTCATCTTTTGTATGGACGAATTTTACTCTAGAGCCGCATGTCCAAACTTTTTATGGAATCTTTTAAGGTTAAGTCCTGTGGCCCTAACCGACCTTTATCAAGCCTATTTTTGCCCCTCTTGTTTGCTTGTTGTCTCCATATTTCTTATGTCTCGTCTTGATTTCAATGCACATCATTATATGATGAGTTGGATGATGCGTCGTCTTTCTCGATAGCATCATGACACTTGTCTTGTCTCGACCTTTACATAGCTAATTGAGCGTCATCTCGTGTCGCCACCTTATTATGTTTGCATGTGGGGGGTCACAACCTACCCTCTTTACAATATAATTGTGATATCTCGCCATCACATTTGACTCAAGAAAAGAATATTAGATCAAACATTTAGGATTTATTTTTAAGGTTGTCCCATTTTTTTTTTTTTTTTCCTTTCATAAAAGTAGGGGAAAAAACAATGTAGTAAAACTGATATAAAATTAAAGAAGTTAAATTTAGGGTTGGGAGCATGACATGAATTAGTCGTGGAACTTGTGGACCGGACTCTTCGAGATGAGACCACGTGTCAATCACGGGAAACAGTGAAGGGTATATCAGAAGGGCGCACTCTGACTTGATTACACACTGCCGCATTGAATCTTAGGATCGCAAAGCCTCGATATTTGGTCCTCCGTCCCCTGTGCCTGTGTCTGTTCTGTGCTTGGCTTTAACCCTTTAAGCCCCAAAACCAAATTGCGGCTTCTTCGATTCTCCCTCTTTCTCTGCATTTTCCTTTTACAGCTCCGCTTCAGGTTCATCCCCTCACTTGCTCTTCCTATTTTGGTTTCTTGAATTGTTCTGCTCTTCTTCGACATTGTTGATTGACGAACGGGGTGTTGGGAAATATATTTTAAGTTCCAACTGTACTCAACTTCTAGCTACTTCTTTTAATTGGTTGTGTGTCAAATTTGATGCGTGACTTATATTTAACCTGTGTCTGGGCTCATTTCAATCTAACTTTCATCTGCATGTAACTTGTTTTCATCGCTTGTGTGATCTATTTATGATTGATTTTTGGGCTTTGATTGATTAGAATGCAAGTTGTATGGATAAAATATTTTCAAATTTATGGTATGCGAGGTTCTTGTTGTACTTAGAAGAGTAACTGCTGTGATTCATGGTATTTGGTGAATGAAGATCGAGTGCTGTGGGATGTAGGCTCCTTGCACAACACAAAGTTTTGACGAATTTTCACGCACTTGGTTGAGTTGAATTCAAAAGGCAACTTGAAAAAATCTCATTTACTTATCTCCTAAACCACATATCATGAAGATATTTAAATTTGGTACCTTGGAAAAGAATGCCTTCTCGACTAGGATATCTGCCTTTGGACCTTGCAATTTGTGGGTTTAACAAGAGTATCCCTGGTTATCGAAGAATTTGGAAAGGGAAGTATCCAAAAATGGTCAAGTTTTTATCTGGGAACTTAGCCTATCTTGCACTAATATCCACAATAAGCTACAAAAATGATCTCCCTGGCTGTCTATCCCTCCAAACTGATATTCTTTATGTAAGAATGCTGGTGAATTGCAAAGAGGCCCATTTATCACTTGCACCTATGTTTCAGCTTTTTCAGGGTTGACATTGGCTGGCTTTGGTTGGTCCATTGCAGTGTCTCAGATCCTCACACATTGCTTGCCACTATTTGTGTGGGATCCCACATCGGTTGGGGAGGAGAACGAAACACCCTCTATAAGGGTGTGATAACCTCTTTCTAGAAGACGCGTTTTAAAGCCTTGAGTGGTAGCCCGAAAGGGAAAACCCAAAGAGGACAATATCTGCTAGCGGTGGGCTTGGGCCGTTATATTTGGTATCAAAGCCAGACACCGGGCGATGTGCCAGCGAGGAGGCTGTTCCCCGAAGGGGGTAGACACGAGGCGGTGTGTCAATAAGGACGTTGTGCCCCAAAGGGGGTGGATTTGGTGGGGGTCCCACATCGATTGAAGAAAGGAACGAGTACCAGCGAGGATGGTGGGCCTTGAAGGGGGGTGGATTGTGAGATCCCACATTGGTTGGAGAGGAGAATGAAACACCCTTTATAAGGGTGTGAAAGCCTCTCCCTAACAGATGCATTTTAAAAGCCTTGAGGGGAAGTCCGAAAGGGAAAGCTTAAAGAGGACAATATCTGCTAGCAGTGGGCCTGGGCCGTTACCGTTCGTGTTGATCACCTTTTCAAAGGGGAAAAGGAAATTTTATGGTTAGACTTTACTGGAGCCTTATTATGGTCTATATGGAGTGAATGAAAAATGCTTTGACAATTTTTTTAATCTTTGTCTTCTTTTATAGCCCATTGAAAGAATTTTTTGTGATTTATTTTGCAGAGGGTTGTCATCATCTTTTTTGTAATTTCATCTCATCCCTAAAATATTTCTTATTGAAAAAAATAGAAGAAGAAAAGAATAAAAAGACTGAACAAAGAGCTAGATGATTGTGATTTGATGCTGAATGTCATATTAGAATAAATGGTGATTTTGAATGGTGATTACTGATTATTAATGCATCTAACTATTTTAGACCTTGAGAGCTAGAGAGTGGCATGGCTTTAGCCAGAACAAAGAGCAGTTGACATGCTGCTTTTGAGGTTATGGTCTAAACATTGTTCAATTTTTTGACTATCCGAACAAATTGTTGGTTTACAGAGCCACAGAAAACTCAGTTTACTCTCCTGAAGGTGAAATTTAAAGCTACCTCAGCCCTAGTCCTAGCAACCACTACTTCAAAACTTTATGGTATGTACACTAATGAGATACTATGCTGAATCATTGGAAACTTAAATGCATGTGCATCAACATAAAGGCGCTCTTATTTCTGTTCCTTAGGCCAGCAATAAGCCTATTGTACCAAAGGAAGAGGTCTTGGATTTCAGGTTGCCACCTGATGGGCTGTACTCAAGGCATGTCGGGGTACGTACAAGTTATAACTCTAACCTTATTGTTAAAATAAATTGCCGAAGTATCTTTATGAGGTCTTCACACTTGTGTTTACAACATATCAAGTTCTGTTATTGTCATTTTGGACCTACCATCCATTTGGAAAAAAAGAAAAATACAATTTTCATTGTGAAAAGTAAGATGTTATTGCCTAGGGGTATGGATTGAATATTTGGAGTATGGCATTTATTATATTTCCTAGTGTGGAAAAACTTAAAGTAACGGATTTGCTCAAATTTTCAGTTCTTATAAATTTCAGGACAGTGGTGCAAGCTCATCTGGAAACAACATAAGAACTTTCTTTGTAGATATGGGGTTCCTGCCATCTCTTGTTGATAAAGTGATCGAAGAAAAAGGTAAATTTATTCCTTTTAATTTTTAGGATACAATGCGTTCTTCATGAATGAGGGCACTGAATTATGTTATTTACCTTCTCTCTTTAGAAAACTGAGAAGAGAGAACCTTATCCTTTAAAGTTGACCTTACGAATTTTCTCCATTACAAGGAAAAGTTTCATTAGAAATGTAATTATAACCTTGAAATGTACAATTTGTATAGAATATCCTAATAATTGCCGCTAATATTGTGTCTCATCTTAAATCCAGGTGAAGATGATGTAGAATTGCTATTAAATACCCTGACTACATTTTCGGTAAGTAGCCCAGATAGCCTGCCTGCGTGCCTGTCTCATCGTAAAAAGAATAATGGTCTTATTGAAATTTCCAGTCTTAATAAACCGGTTTTGACTGCCAGCATTGTAATCAATTGTTGCTGTTGTTAACAACTTATATTTGTCAACTTTTTGTGGTTACTGGTTTTATGTCTTAGCAATAAAGCTTCATTGGAAAAGTGATTGAGTTGCTTTAATTGACTAGGCAGAACAAAAATCACTTCCTGAGTCAACAGGCTCTCTTCACAGTGTACGAAGTGATAAAAAGGGGACTAGTCCTATTGCTGCATTCTGTTACAAGCAGGTATGCTTTCGTTTGTTTAAGTGTTGTAAATTTTCATTTTTGACCTTGATATATAAAGCTGCCTTTGGATTGGCTGGACAGCCACAGGGTGTACCATAAAAAATTAAAAGAAAAATCTGTTGCATTTGGCTCTTCTCTTGTTTAGAAATTAACTGTATTTGAATTGTATGCTTTGGAAGTTCATGTAGTTTATTTATTGTAATAGGCTGGCCGGACATCAAAACCCGAATCATCAGATTCTCTAGATAGCTTATTTGATGACAAGGAGGATGCAAGCAATGAAATCTCTTCAGTTGTTATACCGAAGGAGGTAACCTAATTCCCACTCCCATGTGGAATTCAATGGATTAAATAGGACAAGAGGTCCAGGATCATCAAAATATCTTCTTCCCTCATAGATTACTATATCTTCTTCTCTTGTTTATGTGTGTGTGCAAGTGTGCACATGTGTAAGCGTTTCTTTTTCAGTATAGAAGCTTCAAGTAATTTTTTTTACCGCCCAGCTGATCGTGTCCATTGCAGGAGGCTGATGATGATTATATTAGTACTCATACCAATAAAGCTTCCTTATTAATAATGAACTTTAGTGTTGATGAAGTAAACTTTGCAATTGATAAGCTTGGTTAGTACATTTCTGGAATAGTGGACTTGATTGAAGTTTTGCCCAATATTTATGCAGCCATGAGGATTTATTATAACTCATTTTCAGGTGGAGATGCTCCCATTAATGAGTTGGTGGATTTTATCGTCGCCGCACAGATTGCTGAAAACTTGGAGAAGGAAACAGATGAAACAATCTGTAGAAATGAATTGAAAACGGAGGTTTGTTTTTCATAATTCAAGTTCATGTGTCAATCTTATTTTAGTAGTGTTGTATGTTTACTTCAGCGATTTTAGTTAATGAGTTGACCAAGTTGATTACCATTTTACATTATCCAACTTTTCTTAGTCGGTCTACTTTTCGTATTGTGCTCACCATATATAGTACTGGCATAATGCCTAGGTTGTTATTGATGTTAGTCTAAAATGTTCCTCAGGAAAATGATGAAACCTTGTTTGTGACTATGGAGAAAACACTTCGCTTGCTTGAAATGGGTTTCTCTGAGAATGAGGTTTCTTTGGCAATTGAGAAGTTCGGTAAGCAAACCGCTCCTAAGTCCTATTAGTAGCCGACATAGAAAGGGATTAGTGTAGTCATCTCATTGTCTAATCATTATAAAATTTTTGTTTTACCGATTGGTTTATTCTGCTCTAGGAGGCTAATTTTTCATCCAATATCATCTTTAATTTGGTGTGAGAACTTCATTTAAGCTTTCTCATGGGTAATGTGGAGCCATTAACTAGCATCGATCCATCAGGTTCGGACACTCAAGTTTCAGAACTTGCTGATTCCATTGTTACGGGTCGAATAGCTGGTGACTACCCTGGGAATGATAAGGTTCTTGCACTTGAACTTTGCTCGTCGTATTTGTACTAAGCCTTGTTATATGTTCACATCAATTGTCCAAAATTATTCAAATACTTGCACCTTTTCTTTTTCTAGGAAATAAAATTTACACTAATGGATTAAAGAAGACAAATGCATCCTCTCAACTCTATCCCAAACTTTGTTGACCTCTTCAGCATCCCAACATGAGTCAAACACCATACATTTCCCAAGAGCTTGCAATGAGTACCAAACTTAAGAAAGAAGATAGTTGATTGACTTTTTTAAAAAAATATATATTGTTCCTTCCCTATAAAAAAAATCGAAACCTCAAGTCGGTGCCACACCTTTCTAAAATAGCGTTTGTTAACTTTGTTTGAATTCAATAATTCTATTCAACACTACGATAAAATATTATTGGGGAGAATCTGCTTGTAAAGACCAACTTTTTTATCTTAATTTTTTCTGGATTCTATGTTCTTGTGCCCCTTCTTTTGTGATTGATTCTTGTATCTTGTGGTCAAGCATCTGGTACTACCAACGCCTATTTATTTTATTTTCATGGCTTTGTGCAGTGTTCCTCGAACTCATTCTGTATTGATGGTTTACATAATCCCAAAGTTAAAGCTGAGGATTCAAGTTCTGCTGGAGTTTCTCTCTCAAGGAATGTTAACGTTGAGGAAATATTGAAGGGGAAAAGGCCGAAAGAAGAATATATGGATGACCTTCCAAATCCGATTCCTCGTTTCGATGCTAAACACAAAGGGAAACGGCCAAAGCCAGAATATGCCGATGACGACTTGAGTTCTCTCTACGGTCCTGAATGGTTGGAAGCAAAAGTAAATCCAAAAATCATCGGACTTGAGATGCCCACATCTTCAGAACTAAATCTCTCAAGAAGTCTTGATAAGATGGTGGCTAGACCTCCATCCCCACCTTCAAAGTTTAATCCTTGTAGAAGTCTTGATAAGGTGGTGGCTAAACCTCCATTTTTCTTGTATGGAAATGTTTTGGATGTATCTCGTGATTCTTGGGGAAAAGTTTCCAAGTTCCTTTATACCATTGAGCCCGAATTTGTGGACACTCGGTCGTTCTCAGCATTGAGTAGAAGGGAAGGCTATGTGCACAATCTTCCATGTGAAAACAGGTCTCACATCCTCCCAAAGCCTGCAATGACTATCGAAGATGCTATACCACATACAAAGAAATGGTGGCCTTCCTGGGATACAAGGAAGCATTTGAGCTGCATCAATTCTGAAACTAGAGGAGTACCTCAGCTGTGTGAAAGGCTTACAAAGACGATGACCGATTCTCATGGTCAGCTCTCGTCTCAACAGCAGAGAGATATTCTTCATCATTGCATAGCTTTGAACCTTATCTGGGTTGGCCAGTTCAAACTGGCTCCTTTAGAGCCTGAACAGTTGGAGTATGTGCTCGGGTACCCCGTAAATCACACTCAAGATGCTGAAAGTAGCTCAATGGAAAGGCTTCAAATTCTCAAATATTGTTTTCAGATAGACACTTTGGGTTATCATCTCTCTGTTTTGAAGTCTATGTTCCCAGAAGGGTTGATTGTGTTGTCCATTTTCAGTGGAATTGGTGGGGCGGAAATTGCTTTGCACCGTCTTGGCATTCATCTGAAAGTTGTGATATCAGTCGAGAGTTCGGCAGCAAAGAGGAGGATTTTGCAGAAATGGTGGCGCAGTAGTGGACAAACTGGGGAGCTGGAGCTGATAGAGGACATACAGAAACTAACAAGCAACAAGATTCACAATTTGATTAAGAAATATGGAGGTTTTGATTTAGTCGTTTGTCAGAATCCTTGTTCTCGTTCTTTGTCGTCTTCAAAGCTGAGCAAAGACACCGAAGGTATAGCAAGTTTCGATTTCTCTATATTCTACGAGTTTGTTCGTGTTCTTCAGGGTGTAAGGAACACCATGGAAAGAAAGAAGTGACAATGTTCACTTCATCTGCTTGTTCTGTCTGATAATATGAAATTCACAGCTCAATGTCGAAACTATATTATGTTGTAATATTGCCTTGACTCACTCTTGTGCTTGTTGATTACACATCCTACTGCTCTAACATGAGACATAAAGGTGCATATGGTTGTATAAATTACTCAAGGTACATAGTAGACGGCCAAAAAGAGAGGCCATCATCTACATTCTACAGTCTACAATAGGGCATCACATCGCTCAATGTGGGAGGATTAAAAATGAACCCAGAAAGGGATGGAGTTGGAGCCTAAGCGACAATAATCAATACCGAGTTACAGAAAATGGCACTTGGCTGGTGTGCTATGGTGGCTGTATACGGTATTATTATTGTACTTCAGCAGCTATATTCATAGGTCTCTGCAACATTCTGAGGTGCTCCTTCTTGCAAGCAATCAATGGGCGGAATGGTCAAAGTCTCCTGAATCCCAAATGCATTCCAACAGAAAGGATCTTCCACCAATTCGCCCTCATGTGGTAGCAATTCTACTTCAGACATTGTAATATTCGTGCAGGCCACTGTGTCGCTGCACGCGAAGTGAATTGGAGTGTTCCTAACATCGTAAGTTCCCTTGATGTTCTTGTACAAGATTTGGTTCACAAACACAGCCGATGTCTGGTTACGACAATCCTTGGACAAGCAGTAGTACTGGTCAACTATGATGCAGTTTCTAACATTCTCCATCTGTATGTTCTCGAATAAGATGTCGCTCACTGTACCTGACCCTCCTTGCCATGTCTTTATCCTCACTCCATTGTCTGATTCCCTAATCACTGCATTTCTCACTGTTATGTTGGAAACGCATGCCTGTGAATTGTGGACTCCCAGACTCCCAATGCTGCTACATACAACAATGAATTATTCACTGTGTTGACAAGTGATAAACAAATAAATGGAGATTGCAATTGACATTGTTTGTACCTGATTCCATGACTCGGCCCACAAGTGACGCCTTCAATGTCCACGTTGGCACAGCCGGGCCCGATTGAAATGCAGTCATCACCTATGTTTCCAAATCATAAATCAGCCAAGATGTCGATAACAATGAGTGGACAAGAACAATCCATTATTTCAGTTTCATACCATTGCCTATCATGGAGTTGTATATTCCTACTCCTTTGGTATTCTCTATGTGGATTCCGTCAGTGTTGGGACTGAGCTTTGGGGAAGATATTGATAGCTTGTCTATCAGAACTCCTTCACACCCATCGAATTTCATATGGAACTGTGGACTGTTCTGAATTCTCAGTCCACTCACTGCCAAATTACTGCTCATGAAGAACCTTATTAACTGAAAACCCCAGATATCAGAACCAGTCAGCATATTTTATTCATATAAGTTGGTTGAATTGGTGGGCAAAAAGGTGGGTTTCCTTCTTACCGCAGGGCTATCACATGGTCCTGGCAGAGTCGACCCATTTGGACCCTAAAATGAAAAGGACAATTAAGCCTTGGATTGGAAGTTGAAACTGAAAGAAACAGAGAAATTCAAGAGCTATTAAGAGGACAATGTAGGTACCCTATGTGGTTTGCATGGCAACTCCCACCATTTTTGGCCATTCCCTTCGATGGTTCCAGTTCCAGTCAATGTCATTTGATCCAGCCTGTAAAACACGAGCCATTGCCTCAAACTGTCCGCCTTCGGCCACGACTCTGGTCCGTCCGGTGGCATCAGGGTTCCATCCACCTGATTTGTTGCATTAACAGGTATATTTATAAGTTCCAACTTTAACACGAAAAACAAGATATTCAAATTCTAAAAAAATGTGGCTGACCTTAAACACAAGTCCTGGTTTGCAAGGTCCTGAGAAGATAGTTGAAGTGATTTTAAAGCAACGATCAGAGGGAACTAAAAGAGTGGCAGATTCAACAGCACAGGCTGCTTTCCATGCTGCCCTGAAGGCAGCAGTGTCATCAGCACAACCATCTCCAACCGCCCCATAATTAGTGACATCAAAAACACAGTCAGAAGTGGTGTTTCCTGGATCATCAGGGTAGGGATCAGATGGCACTGAGGGAGCTTGGTCAGCTGGAGTTGAAGGAGCCGAGTCTTCGGGTGGTGGTGAATAAACAGGGGATGGAAGAGAGGGCTGTTCATCAGGGTTCTGTTTCTTTTGTCCCTTGTGAAAATGGTACCTTCCTTGCACATTGCTCAAGTTCTCCGCCACCAAAATGGCCGTGATCCAAAGCATTACAGCAGGAACTCGATTGAACTCCATGGAACCCAAGTGAATTTGAAAAGAATGTAAGGCCAGAAAGTTAGCAGTGAGCAACAAGTGGCAAAAATGGAGAGGGATGGCAGGAGGAAAGAATGGGAAAGGAATGGAGAGAAAGAGACTTGAGTTGTAAAGAACAAAGGTTACAATGAAGTGGGGAAGCTGGGTGGAGAGAAGCAGCTATATATGCATATGTATCTACATTTATTAATACTTTATAAGAGAAGAAAGAAGTAACGTGTAGAAAGAGAACACGTGTCGAGTTGAGAGAGAGAGAGATGAGCAGGATATTATAGTAAAAAGTAAAAAAGTGGAGGGGTTTAGAGGACAAGAAATATTTATCTAGAATTGCATGTTGTGAAGGTGGCAGGTGGTGAGAGTGGATGTGAGTTTGCATTGCAGCCTTGAAAAGGTGAAATAGCAGAAAATGGGTTAAGAAGGGGAGGTGAAATACGAGTGTTGGCATTTGTAGACCACAAAATTGATATGGAACAGAATGGGAAGTAAAACCAATGGTCCATCTTGGTTTTGGTTGGTGGAAGGGAGAGAAAAGAAAGAGAAAAAGGTACACCAGAGTTTATTAGTCTCGTGAGCCTATGTTGTTGTGTAGCATATATATATATATATATATATATTAGTATTATTATATGGAATTAAAATGGTTGAATGGTCACGGGCTGGATCCTTCTGTTCTTGTGGCTCTCCACGCCCCATCTGTCCACTTTTCTCAAAAACATAAAAAAGGTAAGGAGAAAATTAAAGGAGGGTGAGAAGGGCTTGTGGCTTGGCATGGAGTGTCACGAGCTCTGTTTTCAATATAATAATTGGGATTTAAGCAATGGAGGAAGCATGAATCGGTGGTGAGTTTAGAGTAAAGTAAAGGTACGGTTTTGAAACTGGCAGTGGTGTGAGTTTGTGGCTTCCACCCATGACACCTAGGATTTCAACATCTACCCTCTCCCTCTCCCTCCCTCTGTAATAAACAAAATCACGTGCACAGAAAAGGGAGTCTGATCATCTTTACTACTCTAGCTTCCCCTTTTTTAAGTGAGAATCCACATTTTTTTTACATATATTCTTCCACGAGAATTTAGTGGTTAGGTTTGGTCATAACATATATTTTTGATTGAGAATGGATCAAGAATCCAGTGAGATAGGTTGGTTACGACATATATTCTTGATTGAGTGTGGATCGAGAATACAGTAAGATAGACTCGTTACAATATATATTATTGATTGAGTGTGGATAGATAATTCAATGAGATAGACTAGTTACAATATGTATTCTTGATTGACTGTAGATTGATAATTCAGTGAGATAGGTTGGTTATGACATATATTCTTGATTGAGTGTGGATCAAGAATCTAAGGAGATAAACTAGTTACAACATATATTCTTGATTGAGCGAGAATAAAATACCAGCCATTTAGATAGTCGAGTTAAAGCATATATTCTTGCTTGAGTGTAGATTGAGAGCCACTAAAAGTTGATGAGACAGGTTAGAACACATTCTCACTTGAGTGTAGATCAAGAATCCATAAAAAATAAATGAGATAAGCTAGTTAAATCATATGTTCTCATTTAACGTAAGAGATATTGTGAACATATATTCTCGATTGTATAAAGTCATGAAATTATATGGTTAAAACATATATTCTCGCCTAGGCCTAGATTGAAAATCCACTAAAAGTTAGAAAGGTTAGCGGGTTAAAAACATATATTCTTCAAGTGTATTAAATTTTTTCAAAAATTAAATATTTTAATATTTTTAAAAGAGAGCAAATATGATTAGATTGGATACAAACATTAAATTGTAATTCTAGAAGAAAACATTAAATTGTAATCCTATTTTCAGATTAAATTGATGAAAAAAATATTAACGAATAAATGAAATCTAATTGAAAATATTAACGAATAGATAGAAATTTGTTCTTTTAACTAAAACTTAAAAAATACGGAATTGGGTCTAATCATATGAAACTCTAAATGGGTAAATTGGTTTGAATGTTAAAAGTTTTTAGAACGAAAAACAAAATGAATAAAGAAATTTAATTTGGAGTTGTTACACATACAAATTCCAAATATTTAATACATCCTATTGAAACAAAAACCCTTTTCCTTTAGCTTGTGTTCTGATTCCTGCGTGCCTCATTTCAAGAATACTCGAGCCCTTTGCTGAGATCGGTAGTCACAAGATGGTAGCTGAAGCTGAGATCATGTGCACCAAAACCGTTCCTGTCATGAACCTCAACTATCATCTTCGCGTAGCCGAAGACCGCGATGTTCAGATCGATTTGCCGCATCCTTCTTCTTCACCTATCTTTCCCGAGGTTCGTTTTCCCACACTAATTTAATTCCCTCTCTTTTTTCACCCTACGGTTCCTTGTTTTTTTGTTTTTCTTTTTCCATGTCTTTGAGTTCTTGTTTGTGGAGTACTTTGTGACATTGTTTGGTATGCGGGGGCCGTTTCACGTTTATATCTTGTCGAAGGTATGCTTCTATTCATGTCTATCGGGATTGGTCCTTTGCTTTTGCCATAATTTGATTGCAAAAGCTCCGTTATCTTTTCTTATAATCTGTTTTTTCTTTGGAATCAATGTGCCTTCATTACATTTAATTTTCATTTCTTATGTTAGGATAGGATTGGAAGCATAGCTGTAAACTTCCTTACGATCTTCACCAATAAAATCGTATTTGGTTTAAATCATCTTGTTTTGGTTAATCTTATGCAAAAAAAAAAAAAAGTTTGGAAAATAGAAGCAACTGATTTCAGATTAAAACAAACTTCGCTCAAGAAATTTGAAAATATGGGTGAGGCTCAATGTACATT